GCTTCCGAATCACAAACCTTCGAGAGAAGGAAATGTCTAAACCCTTCGTATCCTTTCGGTGGTCTAATCAAAAGAGGGATTGCTTATATATATTTCACAAGCACTCACCTTAGGTATTGACTAAGACTTGTGTGTGGAATACATTGCAATGGTATAGACTCACACAATTCCGTTTTATGTTCATAATATTTCATTGTCATTACAATAAACAAAATGACTAATAGTGAGAAGAGAATTCATGATTTTCCCATCAGAATTACAGTGAACTTGACCTATGGGCAAAAATTCGGATCAGCATGCTTGTTTTGTGGAGATACCAAATGCGTTAGTTAGTATGTATTTAAATAAAGTAGTCGTGTTTGAAAATACATATTTCGACAGCTGCTGTCTTGTAAACGAATGATTTTATATGATTCACATATTTCAAAATGCAATAATCAAATATGACAACACCTGTTCACTCAGTATTAAGGTATGTATTTTAAATTGTTCAGTCCAGGTAAGGATAAAAGAATATAAATAATAATCTTTGTTTGAATTGTCTAAACATACACAAATATTACATTTTCTTGCTACTGTTACGTTTTTTCTTTCTGTGTCTTTTGTCAATGAACAAGCAGCAGATTGTCAAATATAACGATTTATACTCAAAAACTGTCTGGACATTCTTTCTTAAACGATTCTTCTGTGACTAACGATTTCATAGCTTTAATGAATTAAATAAAAAACGACAACGAATGGTTTGGGTTCAAAAACGATAAGTAATTATCATGTTTATTTCTTTTCTTTTGTTTTCCAAATAAATCAATGGGATAATTATTATATTCAGCGTCATTAAATGATTTTTTGTGAGACAAGGCCGTCTAATTTTGACCACGCAGTTTATTTTAGACATATTAGGCAAAGAGCATATTGTATAATTTCTTTTCTTAAAATTTCTTTTAAAATTGATTCTAATTTTAACTTGTTTTTTAAGTAATTGACAACGACTCAAATAACGAGTAGAAATCATTATATAGTTGTTTATATCATGTAATTTTTAATGATAGCATTTCAGCGCGAGTTCTTTTTGTTTGCGTGTGTGTATTCCTCAATGACATAATCGGAAAATATTTGAAAATAATCAAAGCCTTATCAAAAGTTAATTGGTAATAGATATAATAATGATGGTAGTAACTAAAATATCCATGATAAAGCAATAATAATAATAATAATAATAATACCAGTAACAAATAGAAAGATACTAATTATAATACATAATACTGACCATTGAGGCATTATTTGTAAAAGAAAAAAATATAAAGGAAAAATAGGATAATCATGTAAAGAGATGATTGACGTGTTAGACATATGATTACTGATTTCGTTCCTCACTAAGTGTCTCGTGATGAGACTTTGTGATGAAATCAGCCCAAGTAAACAAGGTAAGAGGAATTTTACAATAAAAAGTAATAAATACGAATCATCTTATTTATATTGAAACTCCTGGTGTGGTAAAACGCCTTAGCATGCGTTAAGAATAGTGTAAAGACTTACGAATTGAATCATTTTTTAAACGATATTAGAAATCTGATGTGGATAAAAACAGTTTCAAACTGTTCAGATAGTGTGTAGGGGCGTACGAAAGCAACCGATATTAAAATTATCTTAATATATATAAAAAAAATCTTGATTCCCTTAAAATTGTGTGCAAATGTATTGAAAATCAAACGATATATAAATCTCACTCTGTTCAGATACTGTGTTGAACTACACAAAAAGAAGAAAACAAAGCAAACAACAGAAACGATATTATAAATCTCCAAGTTAGGTTAACGTTACGTTTTCACACTCTTCAGGTTGTATATAGAGTCATAAAGAAAGTAATCGAAAATATAAACCTCCTAATGTGGAAAGAAAAGTTTTTGACCCTATTCAGATTATGTATTGTTGATTGTAAGTAATCTGTTTAGTTTTAATATTTACTGCTGGGCTTTTCGAAATCCACAAACGTCTTGATACAGTTTAAACTAAATGTTGGTTATTACTTGACCATTCGTTATGCACTATTAATACTATTATTTTAGTTCATGTTTGTTGAGTCATCCAGACCCACATTTACCACCATTTCATTGTCTTGTTTTCTTTCTATTTTTATATTTCTGTCTCTCATTATAATAATAATTTATTTTGAATTACTCTGATATTTGACATTTTTTAGTCTTTTGTAAAGCTTATCTATTCCTACATTTTTTTAGTGCAAATGTACTTATGTATAAAATTTTCAACTTCATACGGTAGAATAGCCATATTTCTCAATTGAATCAAGAAAGTGATAAGAATATATGGGAATTATTTTCGCAAATTCTTTAACTGAAATAAAAAGACAAAACTACATATGATGCAGAGTCAGAATGCAAGTATATTCAATATTTATTCTAATGTGTGCATATGCTTTGTGAAAAGCACCGTTAAACAAACTATTATACATATTTAAAAATTAAAAAAACTGCTTTAAATATCGATAGCTGGTATATCGAAAGCATGATTTACTGCAAAATTATAATTAATATTTGTGTTTATAAAATCTTTCACTTAACAATAATTTACGTATAATTATATATTATCTCGAATTCAAAAATAAGATGTTAATATCGTTAACATACATGAACTGACATGAAAAATATCTTACATTTTTGTCTGTTTATCTAAAACAACTTGATTATTATTTCAATAAAACTCGACCAGTAAATAAACTTTTACGTTTGTCTTATGATGATGCGACAGTAAACACGGTCTGATACAATCTACTCCTGGCAAACTTCCCGTATGTTAAACTATTGTCTAGCATAGATAAAAAGTTATGACTGACAGTTTGAAATTTGACGCAAAAATTGATTTAAGTATGCGTATATTAATTTTAGAAATACTTTTCAGTATCAAGACAAAGATTATCTTCCAGGAATCCCTTTTCATTAATGACTATACGCTTCTGATCCATGGCGAATCCGGTGTTAAGGTGATGCACGACCACTTATCCAGGGTTGCAAAACTGCTTGTCATGATAAATTGTCTTGGAAAAACTATATTATGATCCTTAAACTTGTACCAAATACCAATCACCTGATGTCAACTATCATTATAGATAATACTCAACATGCATATGTCGAGTGATACTGTAGCGACTGCTATGTTTTTCCACGCCCACAATTTATTCGTCTGCGATTGGCTAGTAAATCGATACTGCTTTTCTATAAGACAATTTAGCTATCGCAGTCATCACTTTGAATTTTTCGGTCGTGAACTTGCTCACATGTTTCTTTGATACAAAATCAGTAATTGGTCAAATTTTAACCAATCCAGCATTTTAATACTAAATCAATTTTTTCCTGCGTTTTCGCTCGGAGCCTACTGGTACCTTTAAAAGACGCAATTTTGCCACAAGCCGCCAGTAGAGTTGAGCTATTTCGCCTTTCCCCAAAAATCTATGACTTTACTCACAACATTTCAAACGCACACACAGACACAGATTTTTGTAACACATTATACATATCTCTCTGTGTGACTCAGACAAGTTCATGAACCAGAACTCTATTAATTTCTCTAAACAACACATTTCTTAATTATCTGTATTCTATTCTATAGCAAAATCTATTCAACATAGAATCCTGAACATTCTTATTCAAGAGAAATTCTTTCGAACATTCAATCATAAATCAGAATACAGTTGAAGGGGAACAACTTTTTTTTCCTTAATCATTACACTTCATTGCATGATTGTTTTGTATGTTATATTGCAATATATATTTATTTGTTGATCCACAAGTGGAGTTTCGTTGTTTTTTCTTGAATCGTTAAATGTACAATAGAATGCACTAAGAACACGCATCACAATACAATAGCACCTAAGACAGGGAAATTAATGTTTGAATTTGCATGGCAAACCAAATATCAGAGTCTGCCTCTCGACAAAGATGAATGATGCAATGCTACTTCACTTCTTTCAGGATTCCAAGGAATTGGAAACTTTTACATGTTGACTCTTTGTTTCATACTCTACCAGTATACTCTTCAGGGATGGTATATGTTATTTACATGGGTGTCTGCTGCCTACTAAGGTACCTGTTGGGTGCCAAGTTAGCATGTGGCAAAAGATTTACCAAAACACTACAGAGATTCCATCTAAGCCCACCTTCAGTACTGTAAGATGAAACAAAATGAGCGAGAAATAACTTTCACTTGACAAGTCATAGTTTATTATGCCGCTGCAATCTTCAGAAAGGTCTGTCTCAAAGATCCATCACTACTGGAAAACAAAACCACAGATTAACAAAGGTAATGATTACAATAACTGAATTTTAGTGCTCGCACCGCTGTAGATTCTACGTTGCTGTAATCGGATTGCAGTACCATTTGACAATTCACAGGGGATCTTTGGATCAAATAGACGGCCTTGTAAGTTTTGATATTCAGAAATGTATATAAGTCCGATATCTATTCGGTCTTCTCTTTTTAACAGGAGAATTTTAAAAACGCTTTCAGTCCAAGATTAAGGCTAGAAAACTGTTCAGCTAAAATTATATTACCATTTTTATTTGTAATTATTGTTGTTGAACTTTCAAAATCAAGAAAAATACAAACACGAACACATATATATAAATTATGTATGTCTTGGGAGAATAAAGAATGCTTTTCTTGTAGATGAAATATCTTCACTGTCAACAATGCATTTCATTTAGAGTTTATGTGCGCACTTATCTGAACTCTCTCTCCTCTCATTCCCCACTCTCTCTCCTATGTACATATACACCTATACTATCACTTTCAGAAAGATAAAATATTTCTACCGAAAAGAAAAGAAACAATGATCGTTTTAATTTATTCTATTTTAGAATGCATCCTGGTGTTTGATGATCTGGAGTTTGCGCTTAGCAAGATAAAAAGAAAAAGATCTACTCAACCACCTGAGTATTTCGAACTATCAACGTAGCTGTTGGAGACCGGTATTACAGCACAAAACCATGTCTATTATATGCAAAATACAAATTACACGGTAAGAACCTTTCAGTTAAAAATCTCTTTAGTTTCTCTCATTCTTTTATTATTAGCAATCTGTAACGATATTCTGCATGAGTATTTTCATAGTTGTATTTCCATCTTATTTAAAGTATTTGATGAAAACAAAACCATTAATTTATTTTCCTAATTAACTGAGAGAAACGTCCTCGTCCTATAGTAGCAATTACAACATAATAGCTGAGTATGGAAATGACCCAGAAAAGGCCAATATTTCACCAGTAAAGCACACATACACGCGCACGCGCATATATATATATATATATATATATATATATATATATATATATATATATTAATCGGTTTAACTGCATGCAATATACATATATGTATTAACGGCACGCTTCAGATATGGTATTCAGCAATCATTTGTATATAAATTCTTGTGTTGCGAAATTATATCGAAGCTTAAAATGTAGTTCAAAGTTATTTTACGCACAAACTAATTTTCCAAAATAGACAGTTATTTAGTGTCTATTAAAAAGAATATGGGACGTCAAAAATCCAGGATGTTGTGTTGTTGCTTCCTCTTCTGAACATAAACTGCCTGTCTATGGGTCACCGAATATATTTTGTCAGGCAACTGTAGATTCGTCTTCCAGGCAGCATCATATTTTACTTAAAACGGTAGGTGAGGGTATTCCTTGTTTTTCCTTTTCACCCCAAAACATAAGGGGTTACTGACCGTGAAAGAATTTTAGAAAAAGGAAAATTATTAAGGAGAGAGAATAATAAAAGAACGGGTATCAAGGAGATTGAAGATGGCGATTGGCATTGCATTTAAATTTTTGAACATCAAAGTTGATTGGAAAACAAGAAGCCAAAAGTGAGTTCCATATTGAAACTGTTTTCATAAAACTTCTAGTTACATCTAGCAATTTCATTTGTAAAAGGATGCAATCTAGCTGCCAATCTAGTATTGCGATTAAATTCATAAATTCTAGTATTCCAAAGCACAATTACGATAGAAATATTTATAAAAAGAGACAGAAATGCTAAGTTACGACGGTGGGAGTGACTTAAATCGAGATGCCAAATCAAGACATAGGACAACTTTTATTTCGGGATTAGAAAGATATAATCAAATCAAAAATTCGTCCAGAAATGCCATGATCCTTTAACATGTAAGAAGACCAACATTACAAACCATGTCAAATGCCTTCGTTATATCTAAAGCCACAGCCACAGCCTTCATTATTCTTATCCAAAGATTGACAGACCCTTTTAGCAATAACCGTTAACATCAAGAGGTGACCTAGAGAAGCGAAAGCCATATTTGTTTGAAAGAAGATCTCAGGGAGAGATGCGTAACCAATTTTGAGTTGATTAGAGATTTTTGTACATTGCCAAAAAGAGGTAGAAACTAATTGGTCGATAGTTAGGCACATCAGAGGTTGACCTAATTTCTTAAAAACATGAACTACAGAAGAAAGGAATTTCCAAGCATGAAAACAAGAAGTAACAAGGGTAGGGTTTACAGAGAACATGAGCCATTTCTAGAGCACATTTCTTTAGGACTATTGCATAGATACCATTAAGTCCGCGGGTAAGTATGAATGTAATTTCACATGGTATTATTTCCGGTGATGGTACAGGAGTAATGATGCCGGCTTTTACATAAGAAGAAGCCTCTGTGCCACAATTCTTAAAACGAAGATTAAAAAATTAACTTGAATGGGCGTGGCGGCAAAGAAGCAAAAAATGAATCCCAGTCAGTACGATGGCAACAGAAATACATCTTGGGAATAAGGGGGTTCGTGTCTAATAGACAAGTCAAACGAAATATCAATAGATACTACAGTGTGATCCAAATTGATTTGCGATACTCAACAAGAGAAGAGATGGAGTAACGAACAAATCGAGTAAAATATTTTATTTCCGTATTTAACAATGTAGTACTTCTGCTATTTTTAATTACCATATTGAAATGTAGGCATCATATAAAAATATAATGAGTAGGGAGTATGACGGTTAGGAAGCCCTTGTGCGGACTTAAAGACGCAAAGGTGTTCGACAAAATACGCCACAGAGATCTGTTGGAACTGTTCGGCAACTTTGATATATTTGGGAAAGATATTAAAATAATCAAGAATCTGTACTGGCAGTAAACGGCCTGCATGCGGATAGAGAATGAGTTCAGCAGATATACAAAAATAGAAGGGGGTGTAAGGCAGGGACTTCTCACCGGACTTATTCAACCTATACAGCGAGGCAATTATGAGAGAACTGCAAATCCTACCAGGATTCATCATTGGCGACCAACAACTTAACAACATAAGATACGCAGATTACACAATGCTGATAGCAGACACGGAAAGGAAATTACAAAACCTCCTACAGAAGGTAGAGAAGGAAGGCGAGAAGAAGGGACTAAGCGTAAACTACAAGAATACAGAATGCATGATTATCAGTAAAAAGATGAGCACGTAATGTGATTTACAGGTCAGGGACACTAAAATCAAGCAGGTGCAAAAATTTAAATATCTAGGAAATGTTCTGACAAAAGATGGTAAGTGCGATCCAAAGACGTATTGGGATGATGGCCAAAGACGCATTCCAAAAGCTAGTCAGAGTAGCATTATGAGACAGGAGGATTGTGTTGGTAACAAAGAAAAGTGTACCGAATGTGTACCGAAAGTGTACGTGATATCTGTCCTTCTTTACGGCAGCGAATGAAGGACGGTCTCGGCAAAGATGAAGAAGAGACTCGAGACAACGGAGATATAGTTCTACAGAAGGTTCCTAACTATACCATGAGACGGACATGTGAGCAACGATGAAGTTTTGGAGAGGATACAAACAAGGAGAAAGGTTAACATCAGGAAGAGGCAGCTGGAATTTTTGGGACTCGTAATGAGAAATGGAGGCTTGGAGAATCTGGTACTCACAGGGAAGATAGAGGAAAAACAACGCGTGACATACCTAGCGGATGACGGAACGGAGTTTGGGAGAAGTAGCAAAAGGACAAAACATATTGAGAGCTACATGAGATAGGGGGAAGTGGAGAGCCATGATCGCCTACGTCCTGATGGGATGCACCACATAAAAGAAGAAGCAGAATACTTTGTTTCCTGAACCAATTTGTTGGTATTATATTTTAGTTTTTTTTGTCTTATTTCCTTTTCTCAAGCTGAATTTGCCTTCACCTCGAACAAAATTTATTAAAATTTCTTATCATCCATTATTTATTTTCTGATTTATATTTTTCCTTTATTTTTCAGGTCATGTGGACCAATATTCAAAATATTTTTCGCTCAGTGTCAGTTCAGGTGATTTTCAATCAAATCTGTCGTCTGGGCACGAATGGGACATCGAAAGAAAAACGAAATTTCCTCAACAGCTTCGAGAATTATTAACGCTACAAAACGCCATTAGAACAGAAAACAGGAGAGGAATTCAAAATATAAAAATAAATTTATCCACATACAAACAGACTCACCCACACGCACCCCCCCCACACGCACACGCACGCACATATATATATATATATATGTGTGTGTGTGTGTAATGTATATAGTGAAAAACAGTTACGTCCATGAAAATCGAAAGTAAAGAAAAAAAAGGAAACAACTGGCCCAAATTACCTATTACCCTATTTAGCTAACTTTAGCAAGTAAGATAGGATGAGAAGTAAAGTCATATGTATTACTCTAGTGTGTAACATTGTGTGATAGAAGTATGTACGCATATATATATATATCAATGCAAATAAGAACATCTGCATATATGTATATCTGCGATAAAATTTTTGTTATATAAAAGCTAACATGGTTTAAGTATATTACATCTGCATGTGAATTGACTGTTGTACAGAAAAAAACGAAACAAAAAAGAGAAGACAAAAATAGAGATTCGTTAGAATTAAAATGATCAAAATGGCCCTTGGGCGTTGTTTTAATAAACGTATTTTCAGCTGGAAGGTGGCTGTGTCCTTTACTTGTCTTCTCACCGTTTATTTTTTCTTGTACCAAAATGTCAACTCCGTATTCGGTGAGCCTCTTCTCTTTCGCTCCCTAATGGAGGCGATCAACAAGAATTCCCCGTTCGACCGGACGACTTATCATCACGGTACACGAGTCGTGTTGAGTATGGACGGAAACACCACACTACACAGTCAGCACGTGGCGTTGTCGCCCAACTCAACCCACCTTTCCAGTTCCAACAATGTTTTAACAGCCGGCGGTAAAGTGTTATCTTCTTTAAAGTCGGCGCTGCAAGCCACAGACCAAAGGAGTAGGATAACAAATAACAGTAGCAATAATATTAAATGTAGTAGTAATAATAGTTGTAGTAGTAACAGTAGTGACAAAACACAAGAAAATAAAAACCGTTACAATGATTCTAATGTTATCAACTCAAAAGATGTCGAAAATTCCACGTCGGAACCTAAAGTCGATATAAAAGATATAAATAATCTCCAAGAGTACCATCGGCTTTTAACACTGAATAGAACCTTACCTCTTCTGACTTTGTTTACGACGTGGAAATCGGCTAAAAGCAAATATATTGCCTATAACAACACTGTTAAAAATTGGATGAAACTCCTACCATATGTTTCTTCGCCGGTGGTCTTTACGCATGATAAATTTTTGTCAGAGCAGTGTACGGCCGAAGGCTGGTACGCCTTACCTATTGGCCGTACCGCAGCCGGCGGCGCTCCCGTCCTTAAAGACATGTTCAGGGAGGTGATGACTCGATTCCAGTCCCTGTTCTATGCCTTTTCCAACGCTGACATTCTTTATGACAATAGCCTCATCCAAACTCTGTTTGCTACCGCGAAGACGCAAGATCTCAACAAGCCCATTTTGATGGTAGGGATCCGTACCAATGTGCAAAACGTGATGCCGCATGAGGTGATCACGTGGGACGCGATGAAGAGCACGGCCAAGCGCCGGGGCAAATTGTTTCTGCGCAACGCCGAGGACTACTTTATCACGTCTTTCAGTTACCCGTGGCATTCTATACCGGACGTAGTCATTGGCCGAAGGGCCTACGACAACTGGCTGGTGTTGAACGCGCGCAAAAAGAAGCATTTACTCATCGAGATCTCGGACACAGTCCTTGCTCTCCACCAGACCACAAAGGCCGGAAATTTCGAAGGTCACCGTCACCGTGATGGCAACTATAACCTCAGACTATTGACCCGACTCTACGGCAAGATTCAATACGGGGCCGGATCCACAATATGCGCTCCTATGAAATCTAACCGAGGATTAAATAAAACGGTGATCTTCACACGACGGATCAAGCTTATGAAATTATGCTATCCAATATGAATACAAATGTAATATTGCCGTTATTATTATTATTATTATTATTATTATTATTATTATTATTATAATTACAATGCTACGATTGTGAAATTTGTTTTCTTTAGATTTTTTTCTGTGGGAATAAATAAAAATTGAATGGGGTTATTTTTTTTACAAAGAGAGAATCTGTATAAAATATTGGACAAATAAACCCGGAACACTTTTTTAAATATATGAACTGAAAAGTTTAAAAAAACAAAACAAAAAAAACGATATCTGAAGGGAAAATTATATTGTGCACTTATATGTGTGTATGTGTATTTAATATATATATATATATATATATATATATATATATATATATATATATATATAAGCATACATGCATGCGTCTGTACATATATGTGAATATATAGGCCCAAAACATACGCATACACATATACACATATCTAATGACTTTAAATGGTTGAAATGGGGTCAAATTTTCCGAAATTTATAATATTATGCAATATAATAATATTAAAAAGAAAAATATAATGACCAATCTAACATTAAATATCTTATTTAACGCCTTCTACTGCTTATTTTATTTCATATTCTCTCTCCTTTTTTCTCTCTCTATTCTTTCTTTCATTCATATATATATATATATATATATATATATATATATATATATATATATATACCACAGATTTCAAGAAATGTTTTTATTAAAAGGTGCCGTATTATCGAGTGTTTCCTTCGACGTAGTCTCCTTGACAATTTCTTTGATGATCTCAGAGATGAAATTGATCCCAAAGCGTAACAGCAAAAGTGCGTGATATATTCAATTATCGCATATTTTTCACTCACTTTAGGGTAACACTTGGTAAGAAATCTTTTGATTGTCTGTAGCTATTAAAAAATTCTCATAAAAATAAGCATAAAACAATTCAAGTAAATTTCGATCGCTACTCATCACTTTCTACGTGCATTCGAAATCATCGATTCCTTTGCGACAAATTAATGTTGATTTCAAATCTTCAATGTTTGCTGAGTAGATTTGATATTGTTATCATTTTCGAAGCCTTGATCATTCAGCAAGATCTACAAGAAATATAATGTGGGGGTGATCGTAGCTAACAAAGTCAAGTAGTTAGGACCAGAGCGGCAGAATTTGTCACACTATAATATCTTTTCATACAGCATTCGTGGGTTGCACTGTAGGCAGATTTTCACATCTGTGAACATCTTTCGGCAATTATATCAACTATACTTCCTAGCTGTATGCAAATGATTTAAGTAGTGATAATCGTGCTTGGCTGGTGTTGTTTCTTGTAAACAATGACTCACGCTGACTACTACCAACAAATAAAATTATTTTATGTAATTCGAGCTTTGATGGGGGTACGGCAGTGGAACATTTATCTTTGCAAATTTGTTTACCTGTCAAACTAATGTTCGCCTCCTTACACTGCAAAGAAACCAAAGTTGTTTACGGGTTCAAACAACGATCTCGCTTATCATCTATCAGCAAATGCACTACCCAGTTTACATAACATAAACGGTTACTTATCTGTGGACTGGCTTTCACAACTTTGCGTAGTACATCCTGATTTACTTCCAATGGCTGTCATCTAGCCTTGTCCAATTGCTTTCGATTTTAATGAATCATAACTTTTGTGAAGACAATACTTCTGTCTCTGAATATCTGGCTGATTTTGATTCAGTTAAACTGAGGCCCAGAGTTGACACATCTCAGTTGTTTATGAAAGTTATTTTGGGGGAAAATTCTTTGAAGAGAGGGAAACTAATGATTTTGAAGACCGTGAACTATGTGCTACCTGAATAAAATGTTTGCGTGCAACTACTAGAATTTATTCTAATGTTTAGTAAATTTCTTCCCAACTTTACAAGTTTGAGTAAAAAGAACCGGCATAGTTTGTTTGTATTTTTTATGGTATTTTTTTTTCCAATTTTCCGATAAGGTGTTGAGTATTGAAATAGAAGTTGTGGATAAACTGCCCGAAGTTCATATTTTGTACAAGTACTTTCACAGTCATTATCAAGAATCAATGTAATGTCTGTGTTTCTAACTACCACACAGACACGGAAACTTAATCAAACTTTTTGTATATATATATACCTCTGTATTTGGGTAGTAATCCCTCTTTTATACAATTTTCATTAAATAGGACTGACAAGGTACAGCAATGAATTTTTTTTATACAATTTTTCTTGTGTTCGTATGTTTTCTTTTCTAGTCATGAAGTGTTTAAAAACTGTTCAATATGTTCGAGCGCTTTCGGCTATTCTTTTAGCCTTAGTAATGGCTAATAAAATATCCGAAAGCGCCCGGATATGCAGAACATTTGCACAGTTTTGACACACTTTATACGAAAAAAAATTTGAATAAAAGCTCCATCGCAATCGTTTTTAATGAAATATATATATATATATATATATATATATATATATATATATATATATATATATATATATATATATATTTAAAGATATTTTTGTAGGTACAAAACTTAATGATCGAAATAAAAGTATAAAATTTAATATTACAAGACATATTAAAACAATATTAAATAAAAAAAAAACACAACAACGAGGGGGGGGGAGCAACCGGTTTCGTTCCCGCTCTTCAGGCTTCCACGGGAGATTCAAAAATTAAAACAGAGAAATGTACAATACGAACAGGTGGAAAAAAAAATATATATATATATTTGTATATATGCAAGAAGGAACTAGAGGCAGATGACAGCGAGTCCCAGCAAACACTCACGTTGTTTGCACAAAGAAGGCTTGCGGGAACCGGTGTAAAGCACCTCCAAAACCTTCAGATGAAATACAGAGTGTGACCGGGCCAACACGGTGAACCAGTCAACACTAAATTTGGTAGCACAATCTCTGCTATTTAAAAGATGTTCGCATATGGCGGAACTGTAGGTGTTCGGGACGAGTCCATTTAAAGGCAAGGTGTGGTTTCTAATTTTAGGAACGTGCTGCTTTATTCTAATGTCTAAGCGCTGAGTTGTTCTCCCTATGTAGTTGGCTCCGCAACTAGAAACGTATTTGTAAACAATTGAATTAATATGGTGGGGAGGGAGAACGTCTTTACACGCAGATCGAAACATAGGCCGAGTTTGAAAAATAATCCGAACTTCAGCAGAGAAAAAGCAACAGCGAACCTTTGATGAAATTTGTTTGGCTATTTTTTCACATTTGGTACCAATCCAGGGTAATCTAAGGTAAACAGGGCATTTTTTTGACAGTGTAGAGATCGGCACTTCTGAACTCTTCAACTTTACTGGGGATAACTGAATTAACAGTATCAAGAGGATAACCCAAATTACATAGGATATCCTTAATAAAGTTAATTTCGTCGTTCAAGAAAAGCTCAGAGCAAATCTTTAATGCTCTGTGGAGGAGGGTTTTAATAATGTTGATCTTGCGCTTAGTGGGACAAAAAGAGTCCCAACGCGTGTATAACCCTGCAAAAGTAGGTTTTCTATAAACGGAAGTAAGAAAACCTGTTAACGTACGATGTACTAATACATCCAAAAAAGCCAATTGATGATTAGACTCTTTTTCGATAGTGAACCTCAGTGCCGGATGGATACCATTTAAAAACGAAAGAAACTGGTCAGCCTCAACTTAACCGTTGAATAAACAAAAGGTGTCATCAACATACCGACAGTACAGTTGAGAACAAAGTGGATTCTTTCTTATCTTTTCTTTCTGGAAGCCAACAAATATGTTAGCAAGTGCCGGACCCAAAGGCGAGCCCATAGCGACTCCGTCGATCTGTCGGTACATAGTATTGTTGAAACTGAATTCGACAGAGGACGTGGCAAATCTCATCAATTCCCGAAAAATTGACTCAGGAAAACTAGGTGGAGTTAATGAACTGCGATAGAGATAGTCGCAGCAAATATCGATGGTTTCCATCAAAGGGACACAAGTATACAAGGAAGAAACATCGAAAGAGCACATGAACTTACCAGAAGAAGATAAATTTCGCACGCGGTCAACAAAGGAAAAGGAATCCTTGATACAAAACCATCCAGGCACTGTAACACAGGATCCAAAAGTGTGGAGAGCCATTGGGCTACTTTGTGTTGGGCTGACCCGATCATGGACAAAATCGGTCGCAAATGTACACCTTCCTTATGAATTTTTTTTTCCCTTCAGATATCGGATTTCGTTGGCAATTTCCTTTAAAAGTAACCCTGATTTTACCCACTTTAAAAGTGATTTTTGAAATTTCGCTTCACAAGAGGAGGTTCCATCACAGGTGTCAGCAGAACCAAGTCTAGTAAATTTTGAAGTGTCCTCTAAGATAGAAGACATTTTGGTTATATAGTCTGCTCGATCTAAAATAACTACACCAGCACCTTTATCAGGTCTGGAAATTATCAAGTTATAATTATTCCTCTATTCCTCTATTCTTATTGTACATTTCTCTGTTTTAATTTTTGAATCTCCCGTGGAAGCCTGAAGAGCGGGAGCGAAACCGGTTGCTCCCCCCCCCCTCGTTGTTGTGTTTTTTTATTATTTAATATTGTTTTAATATGGCTTGTAATATTAAATTTTATACTTTTATGTCGATCATATATATATATATATATATATATATATATATATATATATATATATATATATATAATGTTTAAAATCCCTCTTTATATATATATATATATATATATATATATATATATATATATATATATTATTATTTTTAGATTTAAGTGTCCGTATGTCTCATTGTTTCCTAACTTTCAATTTCTCTCATGATCACATCTGCGCACTTATAACAGATTCTGATTCTTTATCATTTCAAGTAATATGACTTTGATTTTCTTCATTCTTTTCTCTGCATCTTACTCTATAAGTTTATGAACTTTAGTTCCCCATGTAACATTTCACTCGCCTTCGCTTTCTTTCCTTCGCTCATTCATTTTTTAACATCCAGATTGGTTTTATCAAGAAAAATAATATTTATTTCACAAAATTAAATAAAGACAATTAAACGT